TTAATTAATTGTCGAGATTTAATCAATTTTAGAGGACATGGGCTTAATCTAATTTTCAACAAGTTCAGATCTTTGAGAGATTTGATCTGGTTTTAGTAATCTAAGTGAATGTTCGACTCGCAGTGCTGTTTGATCTTCTTATCAATTCATGTGTTTCTTGGGATGTGTTTGATTGAACTTAACTACACTAAGCAGCTTGAGTACAATCTGCTTTTTGCTAAAGAAAATTGAAGTAGCTTATTTTCCTTTTGAGAAAAAATTAACAAAATTAATTCTTGATTGTTCTTATTTCATGTCTGAGATTCTCATTGAACAAATTGAATCTGTATGAGCTACATAAGTTTTAATTTGCCATTGGTGTCTAGATTTAATCCGTTGTAAATGCCACCGATACTTTTCTTTATGTTTGGGGTTGGTCGTTGTTAGAAGGTATATTTATGGCGACTTTACGCTAAACTTGATGGTACTGGACATGATCGAGGAAGGAATAAAAAGTTCAAATCTTATCAGTCGTTTTGTATAGCGTTGCCGAGTACTGTCTACCAATTCGGTAGGCTACACAGGACAGCACTCAACATTATTAAAGGAGAAAAATAAATTGAAATCTTGTTTGTTGTCCACTCCATTACTATCAGATTTATAATCCATGGAAGGAACTAGATTGAATAAATTTTTCGTAAATTCAAACATGTGATTTGATTGTTGTCTTCCTTTTTTTGGTCTTTTTTTCTACAGAAGCCTATGACGCGCTTGATCCTAATGGAAATATCACAATTAAATGGGATATCATCAGTTGGACTCCTGATGGCTATGTTGTAAGTATTCTAGCAAACTCTTAATCATCTTCAAATTCCATTATTCCGTCTCCATTTTATTTAGAGAAAGGAGTATAAATTTACTCGGCACCCCATTGAGTGTTGAATTTAGAAAACTATATTGATCGTCTTTCAAGGTTCTTTACGGTACTGGCAGTTGAAGCTCGAGCATATTTTTAAATCATCCGAATTGAGCTTGCCAGTTTTTGAACTGTCGCATTGTCCATTCAAGTTTTCTGAATGTTAATACTTGAAAAAACCTATTTTATCGTTATCCAAATTGCATGTTGAAATATATTTTCTTCCCTTCCATGTTCCATTATTACGACAAGGGACATGGGTAAGTACTTGTGCATCGTCTTATAATAGCTCCCAGACAGAGATACAGTTGAAGTCAGTGTGGACATCTTCTGATGGATTCAAGGCATATCCCTGGGATATTGATTTCTTTTTTGGAATGTGTGAAGCCTAATCATACTGGTCACTCATCTTTTCGACCCTGGATCAACCTAGTTTGCTCTAGTTTCCATGCTATATAGAGGAATCTGAAGGGGGGGGGGACTTTCTTTGTGTGAAAAAAGTCAAGAGAGGTGTGATTTCGATTTCTTTTTCGTTTATTATTGCTCTTAGAGTTAGGGATTAAGGTTTGGTCCATAACATTCTCCGGTGCCATTTTTAGTAGTTCTACCAACTTAATATTTTCCTCTCCTTTTATGCATTGTCCGATTCTTAATCCCTCGCATTCTATTCTAAAAATGGTCAGGCTGTGGTGACAATGTATAACTTCCAACAATACCGTCACATTCAAGCGCCAGGTTGGACTTTGGGATGGACGTGGGCAAAGAAGGAGGTGATATGGAGCATGATGGGTGCTCAAGCAACAGAGCAGGGAGATTGTTCGAAGTATAAAGGGAATCTTCCACATTGCTGTAAAAAAGATCCAACGGTTGTCGACCTACTGCCCGGAACTCCATACAACCAACAGATTGCAAATTGTTGCAAAGGAGGGGTAATTAGTTCATGGGTTCAAGATCCGTCCAATGCTGCTAGTTCATTCCAGGTTAGTGTTGGTGCGGCTGGAACCACCAACAAAACTGTTAGAGTGCCGAAGAACTTCACATTGAAAGCACCAGGGCCAGGCTACACTTGTGGACCTGCAAAAGTAGGGAAACCTACCAAGTTTGTCTCCCAAGACGGGAGAAGACGGACACAAGCAATGAGTAAGTTATTTAGTACAAATGTAGAATCTCTATTTGTTGAAGATAAAATAAATCAATCCATCCTCTCATTAGCAGCTTAAACATCTAAATGTGGTGGTTAAATATGGTATGCTCTTCCATTTTTGAAAATTCCAAGCTGCATCTGATTAGGCATGTTGAAGACATGTAAATAAATAAAACTCGTCCCCTCTGTTAGATCTTAAGCTTAGATGATGTAGTTCAACACTATGTATGCGTATATTGTTGATTTTAACCTTCAAAGGCGGGGGTGGAAAAATTATGTAGTCTTCAAGCTTGCAGCTATTATAAAATGCCTGTATGAGAATTGAGATAATTTAAATTTAAATCATAGCTTTTTGTTGTTGTGAAGTATAATTGATAATATGGAAATATTATCATTTAAAAATTGCTCCCTGTTTTGTCTTGCATATAATCAATTTTCGCAATGCCAATACCATATAAGGTGTCGAATATTTGTCCCTATTTATTTTTCTTTTATACATTAAAACCATTGGGAACCTTCTCAACCTTTTCCTATTGCAGTGACATGGAATGTTACGTGCACATATTCTCAGTTTCTGGCCCAAAAAACTCCAACTTGCTGTGTCTCTATCTCATCCTTCTACAACGATACTATTGTTCCATGCCCAACTTGCACTTGTGGATGCCAAAATAATGGTACTCAGCCGGGAAGTTGCGTGAAGTAAGCCTTTCAATTTTCTATCTTCTTTGGAATTATTGTTGACTTTTCTGCTGGCTCTTATGCATTTTCTCTTTGCAGTCCTGACATGCCACACCTTGCTTCAGTTGTTTCAGACCACGGGAAGAATAATTATGCACCTCTAGTCCAATGCACCAGCCACATGTGCCCCATTCGAGTCCACTGGCACGTCAAACTAAACTACAAGGACTACTGGAGAGTGAAGGTTACAATTACAAACTTCAATTACAGGATGAATTATACGCTGTGGAACTTGGTCGTGCAACATCCCAATTTCGACAATCTAACTCAGTTATTCAGCTTTAACTACAAGCCATTAACTCCTTATCAAGATATAAGTAAGTCCTATTTAAAATTTGCAGATGGTCTCTCTTTTTTTATTTATTTTTTTCTGGGTAAAAAACACTGATCATCACTGAACATTTAGCAAAATTTCATATCAGTCACTGGATTTCATTTAGTTTCTAGTTGGTTGCTAGATCACTGAACAATGAAATTTGTTTCCATTTGTTCATTCTACCCATGTCAGTTAGTTTGACCGATGAAAACGGACAGAACAGTCTCTGTTACATTACCTTTTCCATTAGTCAAACTAAACGAATATGGATGGAGGGTCCTAACTGTAAAAAAAATAAATTTAAATTCAGTGACCAACTTGAAACAAAATGAGTTTAGAGAACAACATGAAATTTCACTAAAAGTTTAATAATATCCAATCTAGGAAGTACTGGCATGGACATGAGTGTTGGACACGACACGACCTGGATACATCAACAAAATTATTAAAAAAGTTCTGTCCCCGACACCCTAATTAAAATAATATTATTGTTATTTTTTCGTTTTTTTATTTTTATATTGTAAAGTGTGTTTGTTTTGTTAATTCTAGCATGTTGACAATGAATCAAAAAAATGTCTCAGCAATGTATCTCATAGCATGTTCAACGTGTCCAATTATACTAAAAAAAAGTTATGCATGTCACTTGCCTTTTCCGAAACGTGTCGGTGTCTTGCTGGTGTCGGGATGGCGTTGGTGCAGCCCAGCGCCAATGTATTTAACACCTTTTTTTCTTGTTATCCACTAGTTCACTGGGAGATTGGGAACAAAATCAATCTAATATTTTGCTTTCTGTTAAAACAGATGATACTGCAATGTTATGGGGTGTTAAATTTTACAACGATTTGCTTATGCAAGCCGGCCCTCTAGGAAATGTGCAGTCGGAGCTTCTATTCCAAAAAGACAAATCTACTTTCACATTTGAGAAAGGTTGGGCCTTTCCTCGAAGAATCTATTTCAATGGTGACAACTGTGTCATGCCACCTCCCGATGCATATCCATATCTACCAAATGCCAGTTCGCGCACAGACATCTCCTTGCTTGTGCTAGTGATCACATTGTTATCATCTGTTGCATTCCACTTTGTATATGTTTAAGAATTTCTCCAGATCAATTTGTGAAGCATCAATTCTATCTGGAAAATGGAGCAAGATGAAGAATATACAGACCCCAGCAATGTCCCAGGAATGTTATTTGTATATCTGCAAGGATTACATGCACAAACTTGTAAGCAAAAATATCCCTTTAATTGTTGGCAAATTGACTTCCATTTCTCTTGTTGCATTATAAACAAGTTTTTACCTGTGTTTCAAATCATATTGTTTATAGAGTTTATTTATTTAGTCAATAGTGTTCACTAGAATTGTAATGAGAATAAGATCAATTTCATAAATTATATAGCTGATTAATCTTTGAATTTTGGTTTCCTAGCTTCTAAATTCTATTTTGTTCTCGATCATCTTCTCATATTTTATGTTGACATAGTAAATTGGTCTCCTTTTCTTTCATGCTGCTGAATGTAGAGAAAACATCACACACATTAAAAATTGCAATTTTTCGGGCATGTTTGGTACACAGTATTAGATAGGAGCGAATAGTATTAACGAAAAGAAGACTTGTTTATTGTCTCGTGTAATGCTGAATACCGGTTTATTTGTTTTCATGAATCATGAGATGCATTGATATTAGCTAGAATTATTGAAATGTGTACCAGCTTCCAGTTCATTGGGAGATTTTTTGTTTTCAAGCTGTGAATTGGATTGACAAATAATTGCTTGGGCTATAAAATCCTGCCTAATGGAGATATCGTTGGAGAGGTGACAAAATCGTATCTTTCAATACTATCAAAAGGAAATGAGAACACCAGAAGAAGAGATACTGATAGTTGTTTAGAAAAAAACAAATCTAAGTATTCAGCTTAAAGCTCTACCATGATATATTTCTTTCTTTGATAGAAGTTCTTCAATAAATGAATTACTATGGAGGAGACCATTTGGCACCAGGATACTTGAATAGATTTGAATAAAAGTAATGTGTAAAATCTTGTATAGATATACTGAATTTATATGTATTTTAGACCCTTTATAATTTGATGAAAAAAAAATAAAATCTCCATTATTCTATCCTCTAAAATCTATGACAAAGATCACCAGCATAGCATTCACAACTACTTCACGATATCTTATGAATTTTGTTAACTTGTTAATTTTTTCGTCCTTCCATTTTCATTGAATAAATATAATGACAATATTATAATCTATCATCAAGTTATCATGCAAAAATAACTGACAAAAATTCACTTAAGGCAGTGATAAAGGCAATTTGATTCAAGATTTAGCTAATCAGAACTCTATTAATGTGAAAATCCAAAAATCTTGAAAACCTAATATAGAGATTAGAGGCTGTCTATTTGTGAAGAAGTAGAACTTACGCGGCTTGAATCTTGCTCGGAGGAAATTGGATTGTGAGCACGGACTAGTATAATAGTCGTTCATGAACTCTCAGTTTCATCGCAAAATGGGGATGGGGACGAAAAGAAGAAGCTCATGCCCCCAGTTAGCTTTCAGATATTAATCAACTCTATAGAAGAGTTAATTCATCTGGACAACGCTCTACTCTTTCGATTTTTTGAAAGGCCAAGAAATTTTTTGGTACAAGATTTTAGCCAACATTCACTCAGAAATGTGGATTGTTCCCTTCCAACTTGAGTAGTCCCTCTGTTTGGTGGATGATTGTATTGAATAAAAAGATTTAGGTGTTTGGTGTGGAAGGTAATTAAACAAATAAATGCCTATTTTGTCTTAACAATTAAGGGATGTTTTCTTCGTATTTCAGTTTTGTGTTTTGAGTTTTGAATTCATTTGGATTTTTTATTTTGAATGTCCATTTTGAGATTGTTGAAAATATGTTCTTTTTGACATTTTGAAATTTTTTTTTCAAAAAAAATAAAATAAAAATGGAAAAACCATTTACTTTCCCTTCCCCCCTCTCTCTCGAGTGATTGAAAACACTCAAAACGCATTTTGAAAATTTTGACTTAATTATAACTGAAAACACCTAAAATGACAATTTGTCGTTTTGTGTTTCCTTTATAAATTTTTAACTTGTTTTCAAAACGCGTATTCGAAAATAGGAAAGAGAATGTGTTTTCACTATTTTGAAAAATCGAAAATAGAAAACGATTTGAAAACGACTTGAAAACGGTAAAAAGAACGGACCCTAAGCTTTTCGGTGAGGTGAGGAAGGAAAATTCCCAAGTTTAACTCGTCATTACTAATTTGTAATGTTTAGGTCTTTCATGAAAAATGAATCCAACCTGTATGTAAAAAAAAATATATAGAAGACAATTCAAGTAAATAAAGTTTTCAGTTCTATAACAGTTTAAATTTTTAGATGAGGTGGTTTAATAATGATATATTTGCATAAACTTACAAGAGATTCTCGTTCTTGAATACTATTGTCAATTTCTATTGGACATGTTAGAAGAGGGAGGCATAGATTAAGCCCCTCTTTAAGCTCCATTTCGTAAAAAAATTATTTTTCCTCGAACTCATTTTCAACCACATATTTTCTCAATAAAATACTTTTATATGTAAATCTAAAACATTTTTTTTTTTTACTTTTTAACTACACATTCTCAAAAAAATCACTATTACAAAACTCATTTTCACAATAAAATGGGGGCTCAAATATCTATTATGATTGTTAATGGCGTTTCAGTGATTGTCATAATGAATGGAAGAGTGGTGAGAAAGAAATCGGTGAATGTAACAATGAATAGATTCGAGTGGTGAAAAAGAATGTGTAATGTAACAATGAATAGATTCGAGTGGTGAAAAAGAAAGTGTAACCGATAGATGGAATATATGAAAATTGTAAAGAGGTTTTAGGAGTGTTTTGAGATGCTTTACCTACTGGTAGTTGGATGCTAGGGACATGGTGTAGTGTCACTTGTCTTCTATCTTGTGCTGCAACTAGAGTAGTTTTCTGGATCTTTAAGCAAAGATTTTGTTTTTCATATTCCAATTTAATTAATAGAGTATGATTAGTGATCAATCAAACATCTCTGAATGTTGGTCATACTTTTAACAAGGGTGTCGGGCTGAATGGTTTTTGTAGTCGAGGACACGTCTTTTTTCTTTTTCGTATTTTAATAAAAATGTTTTTCATGGTCTGGACTGAGAATTTCTTCGCATGTCCAGCCAGCGAATTCGATTAGAGGCCAAACTTGGTATGTTACACGACCTACTTTACGTTCTTAAGTATTGGACAGGGCAATTATCATAGCCCAGGTCATACGGTCGAAACACGAAAAATTACTTGGGCCTGACACAGCCCAATACAATATGACTTATATTAGGCTAGGAGATTTTCCAAAATAGCTGGGTCAAATGGCCTATTTGAGTTTTTTTGTAAAAAAATCAATATTACCCTTAATGAAATGTTTTTTTATTG